GTGGGAATAAGACTCCATGTGCTCCAATTACACTCACAACCAGATGACGAAGTAGTCTGACTCAACACCTTCATTGCTATACTTTAAAGTTCAGGACTGCATGAGCAATAAAAAATCCACCATTCAATTGCATAAAATAAATTGCAACGAATTGACAAATAAATATAAACTGATTGCATACTATAATTTAAATGAGTTTCATAACGTATAAATAAGATTACTAGGATTTGTTTTACTGACTACTGCTTCTACAACATTTGATCCAAATGTTTCTGATTTATCTCGAAACAGAAATATTTGCATACGTTATAATTCCCAATTACACGCCATTGAAACAACAAATAAATAAATTGAACTAAATCAATAGTAAACAAGAATTGCATACCCAATTTATTGCTTTAATTTGACATTTCATGTTGGGTTCCAATCTTTATTTTACCTTTTGCGTTCCTTCCATGGTTTTCCTAAATGTCTCCCTGGAGGTGGTGATCCCATATTGGATTATGAATTCAAGAAGTAACCTATTCATATAGAAATATTAATTCTTAGTTTGCTATGACTACTCCACACATATATAGGATAAATGACATACAAGTAATGAATTAATAATTATTTTATAATTTATGCTTACCAACAGCATGCAGATCATGATATAATTAAACAGACCATCGATGATCAATAATCTTCCGATAATCAACGTAATATCAACAATCTCTTTGAATGACCAATTTTGCTCGATGCATTGCTTCATATATGAAACCCATAGTAGGTTTCTCATCCCCATCAACCAACCTTAACACCCTAACCAATGGTTCTTGAACTTTCAAATTTTCATTTCCTTTCTTCTGAAAGTCTTTGCCCAAAATCAATTTTTTCACAGCACTAGCGGGACCAGTCTTCATCTCCCAAAACTAGTCTCTTTTTATTCATCAAAAGTGAACAATGTCCTTAGGTTATCCTTCTGCTTAATGATGCTCCCAAGTGTAATAAAAATTTGTGGCAAATCTTGTAATTGCAAGACTAACAATTCTCTACCATTAGTATATTTTTTATCAAATGATACACCTTCGAATAATTGTAAATGAAGTTTGAGATTGATTTTGCCTCATTTAGGACATTCGTTACAGATTTCTTTTTCAAGATGTCTTCAAGTATGAAATCAATGCAATTCGTTGCACAAGCTATCCAATATAAACATGGTCTTTCTCCATCAACTTCTTTCTAACATGCTTAATAGCCGCTTCATTGTCAGTCACTACTTGGACAATAAATTCTTCTCCAATCTCATTAACAACATCTAATAAACCAAAATAGTAGTCTGACATCCTACTTGGAACATTAGATGCATCAGCAGATTTATGAAAATTTGTACCTTTATTACAATATATCAAGCAATTGATGATGTGGTCTCGTCTTCGACCCGTTCATCCATCACACATGATAGTAACTCCCATCTCTTTCTAAGTAGGATGAAAAGACTTAATTCACTCCTTCATTGTTGTTATTTCTCTATCCAGATATATCTCAGACACTTCATAAGAATTAGAACCTTTAACACTTTTTTCTACTTCTGCAACAATATCAAGCATTGGTTGAGTTCAGGGAGAGTCTGCTACATGGAAAGGTAACTAATATATAACATGAATTTGGAAAACATATCTCTTAACCTTTTCCTTCGCTTTTTCGGGTGGAATTGGATTTATCTTATGCTGCTTAGAATTTCAATTTCTCAATAGATTCGGATCCATCTCCCTCAATCTAAATTCAAGAGTATCATAATTAATCCAATGATGACCACTAGCACCATATCTCTACCCTTAGAACTATCCCCAACCCCAGAATCACCACTCAGTCTCTAACTTTCTTCCTATTGATGCTGTGTCATGCTTTCCCTTCTCGCAATTGCCAACACAGAACCAGAATCCGAATCATCACCTAAGTTCACATATCTACGACCCCCGCCACAGTGTCCCTCAAATGCCCGTTTATCTTTTTTTCTTATCCTTACTTTCTTGAAGATGTTTCATCATTTGTTCTCTGAATTCCTATGACACTTCGTGAAATGGTGTTACATTGCCTCTTTTCCCAGCCAAATGTTCTTTCACTCGTGTACTCCCACGATTTTTTTTTACAAAATAAGCATATTATATCATGTCTATTGGTTGTCATTGTCGCAAAATTCCAATCAATATCATCACTAAGATTTGTTTGCGAACCTTCTTCTGGCCCATGTTGAAGCATTTTTAATTCTGTCACGAAAAAATGGCATGTACAATGAATAACAAACCAAATAAAATTAATTGATTAAAAGATCACCATATAACCAATAGCCTATCAATAATAATGGTGCTTAATTTGGTAATTCATGCATACCTCTAAATAAAACAATATAATTTGTCTTTTTTAAAAAAATACTAAATTAGTGAAAGATCTAATTTAATTAATTATAATTAACATATTATTTAAATCAATATATTTAATGGGCTAAAAGATCAATTTGTAATTATTCATCATATTTTACCCATTATTCTATTTTTCTTACTAATTAATATGGACCCAAATTCTAAACCAATTCATAAAAGCCCATTCTATTTAAAAGTCACACTAGGAGTAACCCGTGCCTGAAGGCATTGTGTAATGTAAACCAACCAATTAATTTGAAAAAAAAATTACTTTAATTTGTTTTAATTAAAGAAATTGAAATCAATATAGTCCCCAAATATTTTTTGGGAACTATTTCGACGAAACTAACTCTAAAAATAGGAGTTCAGGAAAATCTCAACCTGTTTATAGAACTCAGAGTTTTATGAATGCACAATACAATCAAACATAAAATTCACAATTCACAATCATACATAACAATAATTATAATTTCACAATCAAAATTCTCCCAAAAATCACTATTCCAAAGCCAACTACCAAACTAACCATCAATTCTAATCAAAATAAACTAACCACCACGTATGATTGGTTCACTTTACTAAACTTGAGACAAATAAAACAGACACGCAAAGAAAAAACTATCATAAAGTCACGCAAAGAAAAAATTATCATCAAGACATGCAAAAGGAAAAATAAGACAGACAACTAATGCCAGAAGGCACTTTGCAATCCACGCCAGTGTTATCAGAACCGGACCGGACCGGCCGATCGAACCGGTTCAACCGAGAACCGGTACCCTAACCGGTCCAGTTACTTAGTTGAACCGCTTAAGGAAGCGAACCGGCTAAAAACCGAAAAGCCGACCGATTTTTTAAAAATTAAATTACATAAATAAATTTTTTTGCTCTAAATCAGTAAATAGTTGATTTTTTTTAACCTTATTCTTGGAAAAATTATAAATGACACCCCTTCTTTTTCTTTATAATTTACTTGAACCTCTTTACTTTACTTTAAAATATAATAACCCCCACTTTGTTACTTAATTTCATTAATTTTATGGCAAATTTTATGTATTTTATACATATTTTATATTTTTTAGCTAAATTATTAAGTTTTATAATTATTATATATATTTTTTTATTATATGACCGGTCCACCAGTTGACCCAACGGTTGAACCAGTGAACCATTGACCCGGTCCCCTTGTCGGTTCGATGACCGGTCCGGTTCTGATAACATTGATCCACACAAATCTGGTTAATTTGATTTAGGTTATTATTTATCTCATTTAATTAAAAAGTTAAATCAATCTAGTCAATTTTTTTTTTGGTCACATAAATCAATCAAAATAGTAATAACCCGATATTTTTTTTCAAAATTTTGACATTAATTCCTTTAAAAATAGGAAATCATGGAAATATCAACTTGTATACAGAACTGAAAAACAAACGAAACAATCCCCCAAAAATCAACAATCCATACCCAACAACCAGCAATTTCATATCAAGCCAAACATATCCCCATAAACGTGAAATTAATTCACCATACTAAACATGGAATAAACAAAAACCCACGCAAATCCGATTAAGTTGATATAAATTATTCTTTATATCATTTAATTAAAGTAAGTTAACTCAATCTTACAATAAACCCGTTATTTTTGCAAAATTTCGGCAAAATTTCCTTTGAAAATAAGAGACAATAGAAATATCAACCAATATACATAACTGAAAAACAAACATAACAATCCCCCAAAATCAACAATCCATACCCCACAACCAAAATAACCATCAATTTCACATCAAACCATACATGTATAATATAAACGCATAATTAGTTCACCATACTAAATATAGAACAAACAAAAACCCATGCAAATCTGGTTAATTTGATATAAGTTATTCTTTATTTCATTTAATTAAAGAAAATTAAATCAATCAAGTAATAATATGCTATTTTTTCAAACATAACTAAAAGAGACAAACATAACAATCTATACTAAACTGAGCCCAAGGGCACAACGCAACCGTAGTTGTACATCGCAGTTTGAAATTGAGTTGGTGTCATCCTTGAAAATGCAAAATCTAAGATGTAAACACATAACAGTTTTATTTACCCCCGAATGCATGATGCAATTTTAGGAACAGTTCACAAGCATATTTAGACTACACATAATATATCCATTATGCCATATGTTTACCCAAAAAAATACAACCAAAATAGCACGATGTTTTGACCAGTTGCAGAATAGATAACTATATGATAATCAAATTTGTTGTGGGGCCTGAACATGATGGGCCCATAGAAATAACCAGCGCATAATGCGCAGGAAAGTGTGTGTATCAACCTCAAGCTCCCACGTGCCAGCTTGAACAACAATCTATGTAATGTTAAAATCTATGTATACGAACAGGGTAAAAACATATGGATAAAGTTTACAAGAATAATATATCACTAAAGTACCTTATTAGTATCCCAACAAAGAAGTCTACGCTAATTCAACGGATCGAACACAAATGTCCACAAATTCTAAAAACACTAAAGTTTGTTAAGCGTCATACTAATGAGACAGACATATATTCATTGAAAATTTATTGGCATACATGTGTGGAAGAAGCTATTAAACTATAACAATAGTCATGAACGTCACATGACGTAATCTGCAACACATAAAAAAAAGTAGTAATATTTACATCGAGTCCAACAACACCTTTGGATATACAATATTTGTCGTGCTAACTAATCCATCAAGAGGGAGAAGGACACTAATGCGATCGGCAAACGAGCATCTAGACATGACCACATGAATGTGATCGTGGCTGAATACCGACGAGCGCATATCTACACTAACAAACTTGACTGACTAGCCCAACAACTTGTTGATTGTCATGGCATATGTTAGGCCTGAAAATTGACTTCTAGTCATGTGAAACGGTAAATCTTTAGACGATGGTGATAATAATATCCGCAGAATTAAACATAAATTCCCAAATTTGTCACCAGTTAGAATTCTAGTCTCAATAACCCGCAATGCGCACTTGACAACTATAAGCCTTGTCCCATTGCAGAGGCCAACTTTTGGAGCTATATTCCTCAACAAAATGATGGAGCACCAAACTTTTAGCTGCAACTTGAAAAGTTGTAAACCTGACGTGTTTAGAGAATTCAAAAACTCACTTAGATATTGATTAGTGGTAGAACGATTGAGGTTGTCACCACCCGACATCTTGTTAGCTGCCAGCATCATTGATAGCGCAGACGTCATCATATAGGGCGGAAAGAATTGTGCGCTCAGTTAAGTAGGATGGGGTTACCGCACTGAGCACATCTAGCTGTGGATAAACTCTGAAAATTAGTTCATGCAGATTTTGACACCTGTGTATTGTTGGAGGAAGTTCCACAGTATCTTGAGTACTGATCCCAATTTAAGTTTGATGTGAATTTAGTCAATACACGTAAATAAGTAATTAGACAATTCTATATAAATAAATTAAGAAATAAATCACCTCTTCCAAGAATGATGCGTGAGAAGAATTTGCAGGATGATTGCTGTTCAAATTCATGTTTATGCCCAACGTCAGTACGTAAGCACTCGCCCACAATGTAAAACATCTTAAGGATGCACCAACAATTTGTTCTCGTCCACCCTTAGGGATCACTGGTAGTATTTGACGAAAATCGCCGCCCAGCACGATCATAATCATCACGAACATCGCGGAGTGTGCTATCAACTGCCTCAACACCATGTCGATGCTGCATGACAACCTCGTCCCAAATTATCAAGCGGGCCTCCCTGAATAATTCTCCATGCGATAACTGTTTGTTGAAACCACAAACTAAGATTTCCATGATATCGAATGGAATGTAGAATGTGGAATGAGTTGTTCGACAAACTAACAATAACAACGAAGCAATTCTCGATGAAGTAACTGTAATGACGATATGGCTCTTGCTACGCATTTTTGTGGTGATAGTATTGTACAAAAATGTTTTGACTGTTCCTACACCTTCATTAAAGAAAAACATTTCGCCCTAGTTCTCAGCAACGGAGACAGTATCATTTAAAACATTAATATTCAAAAAGGCATTCAGTGGTTTGCTTCGTTTCTTAGTTGCATATGGTCGATCAACAATTTATTACCTAAAACACAACTCCAATTTTCAACAAGGTGTGGCATAGGTGGGCTTCCAAGTTTTTGCCAAATTCATGCAGCAACTACTCAAACAAATATAAACCGTAATCTTCGACTTGAGGCTATGTTAGATCGTATTTGTCAAAAGTAGTTTGTAGCTTGCAACGAAGATCATCACATATATGGATGGAGAATTGATTCCACAGAGTACATGGCTTTATTTGGAAGCATTCTATTAGAATGGTACAAAATAGTATCCTTAACCGAAAGAGATTCTTATGCTACAAAATGAGAAGCGCTAGATCCAAAGATCCACCACCAAATATGCCACAAACTAGTTGAAGTTGAACTAAAAATAAAAATATCCAAATCCAACTCCATAACTTATATAATGAAGCCAACAAAGATCATATTTGCTACCATTAACAAGTAAATTTCAAATTAACGTTTACCAACTAAATCATATAAGCTAACAAACTATCCTATAGATAATGTTACCCAACCAAGTGGGCTTAATTTAGCAAGCACATACCCTCATGCAACATATCTGGTTCCTCCCAAACCAATAAAACTTCCTTTTCAAAAAACAAACCTACATTTGAGAGAATTAAACATTTAATCTCATGCTGAAACACAAATTAGAAGGACCATAAAAAAAAAATAGTTGCTAATCAACTAATATATAAACGCCAAGGGATGCTTTATTTGATAACCTGATGACCAAGGGGGCATATCTTCGACCGTGTTGACCTGTAGCCTTTGAATCAGAAACGAGCACCTGGTTCTAGCACCAGTGTAGAAGCTGAGTTTGGAGAGGAGATTTTTTAGAGAGCAAGAAAAAGGAACTACAATATAGAGAGAAAGAGAAGGGATTGGAAACTAAGTCCAAACGCAACAAAACCACAATATATAGATCTAGCTAATGTTTGTGTCTAAAGACACTATGTAATTAAAAACAATTAGAATCCATATAAAAATGTTGAACCTCCATTCGAGAATTGGTAGAATATCGACATATTTGAAATCAATCTAGACCTACTATTTTTTAAACAGTTTCAAAAAAATTTCTTCTAAAACAGGGCGATTGCCGGACTTACTGTCATTCTACAGTACTGCCCTGAGCTCATAATTTACCATCATGCTACAGTACTGCCCTAAGCTAAATATGAGTGACAATGCTTTAAGAGAAAAAGCAACGGGGATATAACATAAATGCAATTGAATTAGGAGTTTTAAACACAATCTCCTTTCAAATGTCAAAAAAGTAATTTAACTAATGGAGGGATAAGAATTTCATCATACGGTGAACCAAATACATATTGATTTAGTCGTGCAGGAATTCTAATAAATCACAACACGTTTACAAAAGATCAGATTGAATGAAATTCACAAATAGATCAAATCAAAAAAAAAAAAAAATAAGACCAATAGCATGAAATCAAATTAGTTTAATTATTTAGAGAGAAAATTTTAAAAGACACTCGGACCTAACTCCTGTATCAAAATGAGACGAAGAAAGAATGGATCAAGAATTCACATTTTATCTCCAATCTGATGAAATTCGCAACAAAATAAGGGACAATAAAATAATTATGAGAGGCAAAATTGTCTGATAGCACCTATAGAGAGGCTTACTTGCAGGAAGCAAAATGACGTGAAGCTTCAACAATTGAGGAGGAGCCTGAAGAATCCAACAGTAGCATTAACAGAGATAAAGGGAGCTACTATAATTCGGATTCAAAATCGAAATACTTCTCGAAACAAAATTTAATTACAATTACAAAAAAGGGCAATCCCCCTTAACTAAATAGTCTTTGTATAATCAAACAAACACTTGGGAAGCAGAAAGAGAAATTTAAGAGATTGAATTGCAATTTCGATTATGGCTAAAACCAAAAGAACAACTCATATAAATAACATGAATAATAATTAGGCCAATAGCAAGGAGCAACTATGTGATGGATAAAGACACAATAAAGTTTGGTTCATAGTAAAATTGAACCAAAATTTACATTCCTCACAGGCAATTGGTCAAACACCTTATGCACGCAACTGAAAAATAGAGACGGTGAACGGGTGGGAGGGTAGATGTTGTGCTTGTTTGTGTGGGTGTGCGTGCATATTGTGTTGTGTGATTTGTGTGCTGTGTGAGTTGTATGTTGTATGCATGTGTGGGTGTTGTGTGCTGAGTATGTTTTTGTGCGCTATGTGTGTTTGTGTGCGTTGTGTGCTATGTATGTTGATGTGCTCTGTGTGTGGGGCTGTTGTGCATACAAAGAAAAATTAACACCCAATTTCTATCAAAATATGCCTAACATTCACTTTCAAACCCTCACATTCAATAAAAACCCTAATATTTCATTAAATTATGAAATTAACACCCAACGTCCAATTTGATTGAAATAAACTAACATTCAATTTCAACTCAACATCTACAAACTCTATTTCACGAAATTAACACCCATTATAAATCAAACTAACTGTAATATTCAATTTCATGAAAAATTAACAACTAATTTCAATTTCATGAAAAATTAACACCCAAATTAACACCAAATCTGAAATTGACACCAAAAAATGCGTGCTCGACTGTGTATATATGTGTGTGTGATATGTGTGCGCGCCTCTGAGGATGTGTGTGTGGATCTTGAATGTTGTGCTGCTGTGCTGTGTGTTTGTGCGTGTGTTGCCGTGTGTGTGTGTATTTGCGACTGGTGTGAGTTTTGTATGTGCTATGTGTATGTGTATGTGCGTGCTATGTTGGGGTGTGTGTGTGTGTGTGCGCGCGCGCGCGCGTGCTATGTGAGACAGAGAGAGTGCGAAGAGGAGCGGCAGGGAGAGAGAGAGAGAGAGAGGTACCTGGGCTGTTTGTCGTCGGCCGTTGCTTGATCGGCTGTGGGTTGAGTGAGAGGTAGGAGAGTGATCTTCTTAAAAAGAGAGACAGAGATACACGGGGGTGCGGGAGAGAGCGAGAGAGTGGGCGCCTGACTTTGGGTATTTGTTTTTGGAAAATACTCCGGCCAAATAAAACTCAAAAATATAAATTCAAATGCATATCATCTCTCCTGTGATGAGCGAATTTTATTGGAAAAATTGATAAATCTCACCCATCAATGATATATATTCGAATTATATATTTTTAAATTTTATTTAAGTTTTATAACATTAATTTTTTTTTTTTTTGGAATTGAGTCTGACTTGGGTGGGGAAGTGTGTAAAAAGATTAAGATTTGAGCGAAATATTTTTTTTATCTCGTAATAAATTGTGTACCATTAGATAAAATTAGTATCATTTGAAACAAAATTGATGAAATTTAAACTATTCTTACGATAATCTAACTTTGAGATTCAAAAATTACTCTATCTTATTATTATCATAATGAGTGAAACATTAAAGACTCATATGAAAACAGAAAGCAATTCACCAAATAGAAAGAGAGAATCAACATGGACCAGTGAGTATTATTTAGAAAGTTTGATGTCCAAGTTAAATTTATAATATGCCAACTCAAAACCAATTAATAAGGAGCGGAGAGACGCATAAATTTCATATTTTAGGAGGTGCAATTATATCAATTGCACGTGGAGAGGTAGTCATAAGTGTTAAGGATAATTCCAAAAGTTTAGGCTATGGTTATGGCTCCATCAATGACAAGGTCAAATAACACTCAAATAGCAAGTTCTAGCTATGGTTAAAATATTGTCATTAGCTTTTTTTTTTGGTACAAACATTGTAATTAGCTTTATATTCCAAGAATCATGTAATTAGCATTTATTGTACAATTGTACAAAATCAGTATACATAGAAGCCAACCTATAAGCATTCGGTTTGCTGAGGAATTTTCAAATCTCAACAAAGATTGCTTTCAATCTTTACATGGTATCAGAGTCGTAAACTCGACCAACGTCCTCGTCATTACTTGGCTTTCTTCTTTGAAGCTTTTTCTCAAACACCTTACCCGCGTTGCTATTCCAAACTCGAAGTATACAACATGGCATCAAACTGATCAACTAATACTCTGTCTTATTTATTCTTCTCTCTCCGAGGAAGCCATGGGTGAGGGGTTGGGCCTCACATCTGCTCACGAAGCTTGGTCTGCTCTTGAAGCTTCCTGATGGGACGTTTCGATAACCAAGTGGGGAAGCAACACAGTGTCACTTGGACCTCGACAGGTTGCGTTCCCTCTCGGAGTATTTAGCTTACCTCGGTGTCAAGGGGATCATCCTCGGCATAATACTTCCTCAATATCACTGTCCACCCCATCTTAGCATCTCAGCTGCACATCGGCGTCCAGTGAATAGTCACCCTGCCGGTTACCATGAGAAAAAATGAGCTTCAATCTCAAAAAAAAAAAAGGGAAGATCGACTAAGGCAAGTATACCCATGATCAAGATAAAACAACCCCTGAGCATTAAGGCTTGGGAGCAGAGTTGACTATCAATCATTGGTCCTCCTCGGTCCTCCTCTCCAAGACAATCAGAATGATTAGAAAAGTAATTCAATGACCAATGATAGAAGCGTATGGTGTACGGAACAATTTGTTCCAGACCACTCGAAAGAGATATTGGTGAAAATACTTTGCGCATACATGGCCATGCCGAAGGCGAATTAAATGATTATATAGAAGTATGGGATATATTCATTGCTCGATGGAGCTGAGAAGTACGCATTAAGTACTTGGGGGCCCAAGGACGAATTTGAGAAAGCCCAAGGTGCAGAGAGAAGCAGGCATTTAGATCGAGGTCTGCACACCAAATGTTGTCCCCTATACGAACCAACCAGGTGTTCTCCTCCAAGGGATCCAATTGTCCACCTCAATCAACTCCTAGAATGTATAAATAACATCCTCAAGCTCAAAACTAAGGTACACAATCTCTTGCCCAAGCAATAGAATAGTGTTCTCAAACCATTCCTCAGATATTGACTTGAGAATCGGAGAGGTCACGCCAGAGAACACTTCAATGCCCTTCTAACTCTTATTTCTTAAGTGACAGGATACCGTTGAGAGCTTATACGTGAGTTGATCGTTTGAAGAGGTTTTTGCCACTATTAACACCATCTCTTCCCAAAAGCCCAATCCGCAGCTTCATCATAGTTTGTAGTGGGACACTTAAGGGCATTCATCGAAGTGACATTCTGAATGGATGCAAGCTTACCAATGGAGAGATCTATCATCCCAATTATTGTGAAAAAATTATCCTACACAATGTGGCAGCATATGTGGAAAATAACCAAGTTTTCTCGTGACAGTGACCATGGTGAGCACGCATTTGAATGGAAAGGGTCCTCAACAGAGAAATAGATATGTTCTAGCTCCGTCCATGTCGAGGATGGAGGATCAAGTTGAAAGTGTCAACAAGGAGCATCCGAGTCACTCCGAAGAAAAAACCCATCAAATTGGACCAAGTCTTGGGGATAGGGGAGGAGCCCTGGTCCACCAATTCGTCAACCTCATCGAGGAGTGACTGGGGAGCCGTTTAAAACAAATCATAGAGAGCAATGTGAATATTCTCAATAGACACTACGAGTTTGCTCTCTCCGATGGAGTTTCCTGGAGCATATGACCATCAAGGGAGCCCTCCGTCAAAGAGGTGGGACACAACGACTTGAGGAACCATCTTAGCAACGAAGCAAAAGCTCAAAGACTCCAAAACGTCCAAGGGTCAATGGACAGAACTTGGAGGTCCCAGCCAAAAACGGTTAGACCCTTGGCTCAAAACACCCTCTATTAGCCACTGTCCAGGGCAAAGGGCGAAGAGGAATCTAATGAGGGGTTGACTCTCACTGTAAAAGACAGAAGGGCCAAGTGACATGCAGTACATCGTGACCCTAGAGAGAGAAAATATCATAGAGACGAGGAAGACCTGAGGTTCAAACTAGACTCAATGATCATGAAGAGGTCCATTTGTGACAGTAACATCGATGTCAGCAACGAAGCCATCTAGTCACCATTCACTAGAAACATCAAGGAGATGGAAGTACCAAAGAAGTTTGTCATCCTGCAGTTCAAGATTTACAATGGACTTTTTTACCAGGAGGCCCACCTTGAACAATATAAACAGTTGATGTCGCTATATCATTCAGACCATAGGCTGTTGTGTCGGGTGTTCTTGTTGAGCCTAGGCAACACAACCATCACATGGTTCAAAGCCCTCCCACCAAACATCATAGGATCCTAAAAAAAACTAACCAGACAGTTTGCGGCACAGTTCATCACCGAGAGCAAAAGCCCCAAATATGTGGGATCCCTGTTGACTCTCTGACGGAGAGAAAATGAGATGTTTTGTCAATACACCACTCACTACTAGGAGGAGGTCAACAAGGTAGAGGGGTGCTCCGAAGTCATGGCGGCGGCTTCTTTTCGACTTCGGTTGTCCTGAGACATCGACCTCTACAGATCCTTGACAAAGCAGACGACGAAGGACATAGGTGAGTTGATGGCTCGTATCAACAAGTACTTGAAGGTGGAGGATAAGTTGACAGGGAGATGGGGAAAGAATTTGGCCACAAAGAAAAAAGACAAGGAAAAAGACAGGGCCCTCCTAAGAAGGGTTTGACTTCGACAATGGGGAACCCCTTCCAGGGGATCCACACCGTATTCAAGGAACCTATCTACAAGATGAATATGTTGTTTGTAGCATGACTGTTTCTGAGGCTATATGTTTAAAATGATTTCTAACTGATTTAAAACTTACCTATGTAAATAATATATCTATTCGCATTTTTTGTGATAATAAGGTTTCGATAAAAAACCGTTAAAATTGGGAAAATCGAACCGAAAAGGTAAGCATATTAAGTTACAATATTACTATTAGACAACAAAAAAAATGTTACTATTAATTATCTTTGTATAAAAGATATGGTTGTAGACCTATTGACAAAACTTATTGGAACCAAATAATTTAAATGACATGTCGTTGTTATGGGTTTAAGTTATGAATGAATATCTTAGGCTTGTAGCCAAGTGGGAGATTTGTATATGTGACTAAATCCCTTCATATTAATTAAGGCACGATTGGAGGTTAAATCTGGAATAAATAAAACTTCAATCTGTTGATTAAAAATTGCATTATTCATACATAATAGATGCATTTTTTTATGAAATTATTATGTATTAAACATTATATTATAATGGTACATACACATATATATTGCATTAATATGATTGAATGTTTGAGTTTCGTGTTTTCTAGTTAGCATAAGTGACTAGGCTAGAGGAACCCATCAAGTGATGAAAGACTAGGTCCATGTAATTAATCCTACTTGGAGTGTTTTAGCCTACTTTGATTGCAAGGAGTTGAGGAAATAGTGGTGGACATGGAGACTAATCAGGGGAGTGATAACGGTTAGTTGAACAGGTACTTGATACATCCTCTAGTATAAATAAGACTCTCTGGATGCAAAGAGAACCACCATTGAGAAACACCTAGTTGTGAGAAAATCCATTAGAAGTGAAATCTCAATTCTACTGCATTCATATTAAAGAAAGTTTTGGCTCACCATTTATTAAATTATTAGATTCTTATTCCGTAAATTCCTACAACCACAACATTCTTCTGTTGAAAAGCAATCGAGAATCAAATTGAAACAAGGAGTCGTTATTGTTATTAAAGTTTGATCATTGGAATTACAATTAACAGGTTTGTACCTTGCCTAATTATATGATGATTATTGTAATTTATAGTATAAAACATGTCACACTTTAATAAGTCTATCTAACGGTCTCAAGTAGACTCATTCAAAGGCCACAAATATTCTTATCAAAACCATTCACATTACAATATGTCTTCAGGCACGGGTTAACCTTAGTTCAATTATATAAAAAATAATCTTCGTATTTCTTAGGATTTGATAAACCCAACATACGTCTCTGATGATTCGTAGGTGATATATGATTTAACTTTCAAATTTTTTTTAAAATATATTAAAATAAATTTGGATCTAAAAACATCATTAAGAAGTTCTTTGGATAAAAACTTTCCAACCACCATCTTAAGCAATTGGAGTAATCAATCCACCGATTTGATTTATTCGATATGCCTATCTACAAGATGAATATAATTTATTGATTGGTTATACAATTTGGTAGCATAATTTACAAGATACTTATAACTCCTTCCAGGAGGGGTCCACACCGTGTTCAAGGAACCTATCTACAAGATGAATATGTTGCTGCTTGTAGCATGAATATTCCCTCGTGGTTGAGACAATTTTTTTCCTTATAAAACAAACTCAGCTTTATTGGGCTATTGATTATGTCAGCATTTTAAAATGGGTAATGTTAGTCAGATTTAATTTACTAACCTAATCTTTCATAAGTATCAGATTGATAGTGGATCCCAATATATATTGTGACCTACAATGATCGCAATTGTTGTGATGAATTAGCTCAACAAATTATGTTAGTAAATTAAACTCGAATATAGTTCCAAAAAAAAAAAAAAGGAGGTCCGAATAGGATTTTTGATTTTAAAATGCCATCTGATTTTTTACATTGCTAACACAGATGACTCCCCTAATCACTCCGATATTTCTTTTCCTTCACTGCCCTCCCTCCATTACAAAGGTAATTTGCAATAGTGATTAAACGTTATGTTACTTAGTTGACATTCAAACACTCGGATTAACTTATAGTGGAGGAAACCATAAGGTATTGCAAATTTGAGTATATGTGGATCAACGAAAAATCAACCGTGTCTAGCCTTATCAGTTGAAGGGACATAAAACGACTCTGCATGATTGAGACAGTTAATAAGGTCACGTGCGAGAAGCACATGAGGGAACCACAATATCCATCGCAGTCAAACCAAGCAGGTGACTAATGCTTGACTTAATAAGCCGAACTGTCAAATATAACCAATTCAACGGTACAATTGAGCATAGCGCACAAATAGCTTTTTATACAAAGATCCTTCAGCAAGCAAGAGAGCTAGGTAAGGCCGAATCAACAAGAGCATTGCCTAAATCATAGGAGAACATTCAACATATCCTTATAAACAGAAAAAAGAGAAAAAAGTTTAGGAGAAATCTTAGTACTTAAAAGGACCTGACCGAACATTAGGTGTGCCACCTAATATGACCAAATCATGGCAAAGACATTGCCACACAACATTAAAAAAATGGGTACGCACTGCCAGCTCTATCATAAGTTAGAAAACAAACAAAAGACTTAATATTGAAACATTTCCTGCAGTGATGGTAGAAGTGATGGTGAAAATAGTAGTAATTAAGAAAACTACTTCCATTCTTCTTTATACATTCCCTCCATCGAGAAATCAAGTGCCCACCAAAATGAATTAAGAAATATGTTAAACTTGTCTTGCTGCTTTGTTATCAGAAGTTGTGCTGCAAGAACAAGTGTTCTTGTGGAGAAGCAGGCCCAATCTCTTCTTCCAAACTTCTCAAACCATCCCCAACGTTTCCTGCATTTCCCAAATTTCTGGCTTCTGAGTTCTTTCCATCAACATCTGCATCCGAAACTGAGGACTTCCGCCTTTGAGAAGAAGCAACACTTGGAAAAGTGATCCATGAAGGTGCTCTGAATTCGATCCTTTGATCCTCAGAATCGCCCACCACCTCAGTTTCTGAGGCTGACCGGTTTGAAGATCTTTGAGATGACTTTTTGTGCATTCTGCTGCTTCCCAAAACCACCTCAGTTGGCAAAATAGGTTGCTCGCTACTTGGGCTGCCCATCAGTAGTGCAAGTGCTCGCTCCAAAGCTGTTGTGACTTTGTCCATTGATGGCCTCTCTTTCCCTCTCATTCTTACACATTTACTAGCCACATTCGCAATTTTTCTCAGAGCATCAAGATCAGATGGGGGTTTCAGAACAGGATCCAAAATCACTTGTATATCACCAGCCTTGATCAAAGGAACTGCCCATTCAACTATATTCCCTTCTTCATATTGCATATCAATGGCTTTCCGACCACTGAGAATTTCTAAAAGTAAAACACCAAAGCTATAGACATCAGATTTGGTTGTAAGGTAGTGAAGTCTATAGTACTCAGGGTCAAGATAACCAAGAGTCCCGGCTGGCAGTTCTGCTAGTGGAGAGCTACTATTGGCAGGTCCCAACAAAGATAGACCAAAATCAGCTACACGGGCATTGTGTTCTTCATCGATAAGAATGTTTGATGACTTAATGTCTCGGTGAATCACAGGTGGGCAAGCATATCCATGCAAGTATTCAATCCCCCGAGCTGCTTGAACTGTGATGGTAACCCTTTTTACCCAATCTAATTGCTCCTTTAAGGCTTGATTATTCCCATGGAGGTGTTGGTGCAAGGAGCCATTAGCCATGAACTCGTAAACCAGAAGCCTTTCTCCTCCTTCTTCACAATAGCCAAGGAGATTGAGCAAATGGGCATGGTTCAACCTCGATAGTAGATCTAGCTCTGTGTGAAATTCTTTCGAATGCTTCTTCATGTCTGTAGACATTATAGCTCTTTTAACAGCCACAACTGTTCCATCCCTCAAGACCCCTCTAAAGACGCAAGAAAAACTTCCCTTACCTACTTGAGATTCCTCTTTAAACCCACAAGTGGCTCCCTCAAGCTCCTCATAAGTAAACATCTGAGCTCTCCTGATTTTAATCTCATCCAAATCAGGGCGAATTTTACCACTATCCTTTTGAAAAGAACCACTTTTCTTGGATTTCAAGCCTTTTGCAGAGCACCTGCAGTTCCTTAACTTGTAGTGAACATATAGAATAGCAGTCAAAGATACAACACTCACCAAGAACACGGCAAAGGCAATCTCTGCAACAATGACGGGCAACTGAAGTGACCAAAATCTTCCACCCTTATTTCCAGCAGAGGCATTGGAATGAGAACAATAAGAGAAACAATCAGCCACGGTGCAACTTGAACAGTTGTATGCACACTGTCTATCAGACATTGAAGTGCATTCAACATTTTGGTACATTTCAGCAGGACAACCACTGGTGCATGGCAAGCAAATGCGAGAGTTTGGAGACTTGCATGGTTTACTTCCATTGTTGAATTCATAGAAACCTGGCACACAGGAATTAGGCTTGCAAAGTCCTGGAGAAACAGCTAATGGTAGGGAGGATGGAAAACCGACACCCCAACAAACCGGTAGGAGAGATGTCTCAGCAAGAACTCCACAACTGAAATAGTCCCCTGCTGCAATCTCATAAAGCCTAATGCCACTAGGGGGTGGGGTACTTCTCTGAATGGTATAACCCCAACAAACCACCCCACGATCATAGCTCTTGATTCCACAAGCATGGAACCGTCCTCCCACTACCAAAAGCATCGGATCACTTGGAGCTGAGTCCACATTGACTTGACCCAAATGTGCCACAGAAATTTCTTCTTCAAGGTCCAAGCTCCTTCCCCAACAAAAAGCTCTTGAATTCACCCCCTCTAGAATCCCACAGACATGAAAACCCCCAGCTGCAATCTTCTGAAACCTCATGTCCTTAGGAATTAGACTAATTACTCGGCTACTAGTCTCGTCACCCCAACAGAAAACGCTACTATTTTGGAAAAACAATCCACAGTTAAACTCCGAACCAGCTGAGATGGACTGAATCTGCCCATCAAACACATAGTTTTTAGTCATGTTGTAACCCCAACAATCAACAAGAGAAGTGTTTCTGTGCTTTCCCATCAAGGGTTTTCTCAAACCGCATAAATGGTGATCGCCTGCACTAATTTCCAAGTATTCAGATCCATTAACTATAGGTTGAGGAACACCCATTTGAATAAAACCACTACTTCCCCAACAATAAGGTTGGTTTGAATCCATTAAAAGTCCACATACAAATCCATTACCGGCAGTTAATCCAGTAAAAGGGAAATGAGCTGGAGTGGCATATATTACAGCTAAGTTCGATCCATAGCAGGTCACAAGATGTGAACCATCTGATTTCAGGCCACAGAAAACAGGACCATACTCACCATATGAAATCGCAATGGATGACATTGAGCCAAGACTCAAAACTAACCCCCATAAATCTAAAAACACCACCAAGATTATGGTTTCTACAAGAAATTTAGCTTTCCTCGAGTGAATCTTCGAGACCCAAATGACAAAATCTCTCAGAAAATACATTCCAAAATCCGTTGCAAAAACCCAAACCCACTATTCATAAGAAACCACAGTACCTACAGGTAGTTCTAAACAAGTAATAGTGCTAATAACTTGCAATGACAAATGTTCCATGCCAGGAAAGCTTAACCAGATAACTATCTAAAGCACTAAAACTCCTTTCAAATTGCCAAAGCAGTATAGATAAATTTCCATGATTAAACAGTACTGGAGGAAAAAATTTTAATCAGAAGCACATATCTGAGACTTGCATGTCAGGCAAGCTTACCAAAAACCCGGATCTAAAAGTACCAACTTTGGAATTTCCACCAAACCTCGACCAAGAACACATCATCCAAACCACCAATAATCTTCTCCCATCCATTTTTAGCAAATACCAATGTGAGAAGTTCGGGCTGTTTCTTTACTCTCAGTTCAACACAAAACCTTCAACCCAAGAAACTGTAAATGGGATATCTACAGCTTTGGATCAAGAAACACATTCTGGGCAATGCTGAAGCAATGAAATAAGTTCCTTCCAAGCACATTCACAGCATTGGCTTGTTTTTTAGCTACGCGGCCAGCTTTTGACAGTGTTGGTGGGGAGTGAAATGGTGACGTAGTCGGTTAGTTTGTGAAAGTGCTGGTATAGCAGCCAAGACTGAAATGGTTATGGTGAAGGGCATGAGAGAGAGAGAGAGAGAGAGAGAGAGAGAGAGGGTGTTAAATCCAATAGAACTGCTGCAGATTCTCAAAATGAGCTAGTGTAGGTGAAGGCATTAAATGAGAAGTAAATGCAAAATTGATCATTTCATGGCTGGATTTCTGCACACATGGCCACTGTTTCAAATTTCTGCCGGTGCAGACATGACCACTATTTGCAATTCTTCTTTGGGTTTTAAAACTGATTTAGCTCCTTCGCCCATCTAAGTGGCTATTTGATAGAAAATATGCAGAGTTATATAAGTTAATATTAATAGGTCATATATTAAAGCATCTCCTGATCTAAAATACACAAAATCTTCAAATTTTAGCTATTTAGCCCAAAAATTTCATTCTAATAAAATATCTTCAAAACATCCAAAATAACAATATTCTATATTTAGAGTATCACTGTAGTGAAATGTAAAATTTTTTTATAATATTTTTTTTCTCTCTTACTCTCCTTTCCTCCATTCTCTCTCTTTATCTATTTCACTATTACCAAAAAAAATTATCCAAAAGAAATGAGAAATAATATTTGATGATACCTCAAATAAGTTATAAGAGAGCTTAGGAAACATGGTCAGGTCAGGAGGTCTGGTAGGATACGAGGAGCTCAGAAGCTCGGGGCCAGAGCTCCCCTTGAGGAGATGATAGCGGAACTGACCAGGGAACAACTAAATAACTGCAAAAACTGGGTTCAAAGCATGAAACTCTCAACTAACCAAGATTCTCTCCTAAAATCAAGGAGAATCCCGCTAATGACAGACAAAGATCTTGGCTGAGATCTGACAAAATAGGGAATAGTCCTATAAATACTATGTAACACCTTTATAGAGAGAAAAAAAAACCCTAATTTCGATATATACCGGATTATAATACATTAGAGTGGTGAATAGAAGAGTGGGAGCAAGACCCTCCATTGAAAAAGTGGACTACCAGAGCTCCTGAGCCGATGAACTTATATTTTCACTGTGTGCACCCCTCAAATCCCCTTAGCATGACATTCCAACATCACACACGAGCCTTGTAGCTCTGATCTACGATAATCACATGTCACTTGCACTTTTTGCTCATCCACGTTGGCTCACGCCATCAGTTTGGCGCCGTTTGTGGGAACTATTGCTCCTGTTACAAATACACTGATCTTTCAGTAACTGATGGTTTCAACCCGTAACATGAGTAGAAGCCAGACCAATCTACCACGAATGCAAGAACAACAGGAAGCCGCCAATTATAGACAGCCTGATAGCATCCCAGGGGCGAATCCCCCAATGGGGAATCCTCACTCAAATAATGAGTTGGAGGCTCTTCGTCTAGTTAATCAACATTTGATACAGCAGAATGAAGAGCTCTTGAAACTCTTGCAACGCCCTGGGGAGGCACAACAAGCCCAAGAAGGCCAGAATAATCCCCCTCAAGGAGGGCAAGAACATCTTGACCCCCTCAGAGAAGTTGGTGAAGGAGGAAAAAATAGTCAAACCTGGGGACAAGATCTTCATCCACCCCCAAGGAATGGACGTAACGAAGAAGTGCAAAGTCAAAACATGGGGGAAGAAAGGAATGATTTTTTTCCCTATCAACAAAAGAGGAGAGTAATATTGGGAGCAGCGCTTCACTGACATCCAGTAAGAGCTCAGTCATATGAAGGAAGCTATGAAGAACAAGGTTTCAGTTACAATGGATGCCCTAGTACAACAAACTGAGTCTCCATTCTCTGTAGGGGGGTTGCATTTTCCCCTCCTCCAAAATTCAGGATGCCATAGATAGAAGCTTTTGATGGGACAAAAGACCCCGTGGACCACCTAAATACTTATAAAAACTAGATGGAGTTTCATGGATACAAAGATCCAGTACGCTGTAGAGCCTTTGCCATCACGCTAAAAGGGGCAGCCCTGGCATGGTTCAATAGGCTCCCCCCGGCCTCAATCTCCTCCTTTAAAGAGTTGTCCATATCCTTCGTATCCCATTTCATAGGATCTCGTATATACCAGAAGTCAAGCTACCATTTGTTGAACGTGAAGCAAGGACCCCAAGAGAACCTTAGGTCTTCTGTCCAACGGTTCAACTCGGAGTCACTGAAAGTGGATGTACCAGATGAGAAGTTCGCCATTATAGCCTTCATAGCTAGTCTAGGCGTACAGTCCGAAGATCTGATGTTCTCTATTTCAAATAACCCTCAGGCAGATATGGTTGAGGTGTTGACTAAGGCAGAAAAATACATAAACGGTGAAGAGGCCCTTCTCTCAAAAGTGGGAAGTTCATCTACACAAAAAGACAAAGGAAAAGAGGAAAGAAAAAGGGACCGAAGTCCCAGAAGAGAAAAAGTGTGTGATAGGTCTCTGAGAAGGGACAGAGATCGCTCCCCCAAAAGGAGGGGAGATGTCAGAGATCGCTTAGGTCCACCACGGCCAAAGCTACAGCCAAGGTATGCACCTCGGCAGCTCCCCTCACTCACCGCAACGATATCTTAGATCTTATACGAGATGCAGAGCGAGAAGTTTTTAAGATGGTCACCTCGAATGAAAGCAGACCCGGCAAAGAGGGATCCCACAAAGTATTGCAAATACCATAGAGATCATGGCCACCATACTGATTATTGCATCCAATTGAAGAAGGAGATTGAATTCCTAATTCAGAGGGGTTAGTTACGCCATTATGTAGCTTGGGATAATCAGGATCGAGCCCCTCCACCTCCACCACCTCAACAACAAGCTCTTGTATTACACCAACAACCCCTGGGCAAAATCAGAGTAATTTCTAGTGGGTTTGTAGGGGGTAAGGAGTCCAGTTCTACGCGGAAGGCGCACCTATGCAGAATCTGAGCTGGCGAAGCGCTGAAAATACACACAGTGTCCAAGGCGCCTTGGCTGAACATGGCTATCATCTTTTCAGACTCAGATTTAGAAGGCTACCATTTCCCCTATGATGATCCACTCGTGGTCAGAGCTATTGTGGCTAATAGAACTATTTATCGAGTTTTTATTGACAACGGGAGCTCAGCAGATATCAAATTCACTTTTGCATTTGACAAAAAATGGATATAGGTAGGGAAAGCTAGAGCGGGTCAGCGCTCACCTGTTGGGTTTCGCAAGAGAAAGGGTATTGCCCCTAGACTCAATCCAGCTCGTCCTCACCATGGGAGATTATTCCTGCCAGGCCACCACCACAATTATAGAGTTACAGCAAAATAGAGAAATAATAATAGTAAACCCTTAGGAATCAAGAAGAGACTCCGAAGTAGAAGAAGAGTCCAAAAAGTTACAGCAAAATCGTAGAGACAACAAACTTCAATGCAATCAAAGTATGCACACAGCCCAAAGTTGGCGGACCTTTGGGTTTTCTAATTAAAGAGGTTGGTTACGTTTTTGAAAGGCAGTTGGGAAAGCGTAAAAAAAAAGAGAGAGAGAGAAAGAGTTCTGCTAGGGTGCCCCCGAGAGGTTAACATCCATAAGAACCCAGACCAAGTAGCCTCAACATTCCCTTGATGCTCCTCATCTATCTCAAGCAATAACAGCCCTCGGCTGTCCAACAGAAGTCCTGGACAATAATCTGCAATATAATATGGGAGATTAACTGTGGGACCACGATAGTGCTCGGCAGCCCTGGAAGACTTTCTGAGATCCCAAACGTTCAGGTATATATGAGCTCAGTGTAGCCCGTATGGTTGCATGGTCCCTCCAAGACAACTTACTATTTTTTGGTATTTATGAGCTAAGTGTAGCTCGTATGATTGCATGGGCCTTCCAAAGCAACTCCCAACTTTTCAAACAAATAGCATACTCTCTTCGACCAAACACAAGCATAGTAATCTCTTAAAGTCAGATCTCAATTCCTTTCCTCTCAAAGGAGCTCAGGGAGCCAGTAGACTTGCAGTTCCAACAAATTTAATTTCAAAGGAACTCAGTTCCTCTCAAAGCAAAAGCGGCAAGGGGAATACAGAGCAGTACGCGAGCAGTTAACCTCAGAACAATGAGAGCAGATCTGAGAAGAGCAGAGTAGACTGCATTGAAGAGTAAGTTGGATTGTATTATTGTGTTAGAGCAGGGTAGACTGCATTGAAGAGCAAGTTGGATTACGTTATTGTGTTAAAGCAGAGTAGACTGCATTGAAGAACAAGTTGGATTGTGTTATTGTGTTAGACTGCATTGCAGAGAAGTTAGATTGTGTTAGAGAGCAATTTTAAAAAAAAAAAGAGAAAACGACCAGTACGTTTACCATTCACATGGATGACTTAAAAGACAAGTCAGAAAAGTAGGATAGATTTACATTCCCCAATAGAAGTTACAAATGCTTTTCAACAAGAAAAAAGAGAAATAAAAGATCCCAAGTTTTGGAAGAGGGAACAGATGAAGGGTCCTGCAATGCAGTTACTGTAGCTTCAACAACAGGAACAGAAGAAGAGCTCGGTAGCTCAGCAAACAACACTTCTGGCAAGGCAGTAGAAATCTCAGAAAGGCTAAGAACAGGCAAGAAGGTTGGAGCCTTAATCTCAGTCAGAGCTCTCATTACTAGATTAGCAGAAAAAGAAGTATTAGCAGGGACAACTAGAGAAGTGGACATTTCAATACCTTCCAGAGCTTCATCGGAAGCAGCAGGGGCCAAGGTACTGTCATCGCCCTCTGAATTAGTCTCTTCCAATTCCTCCTCAATAGGGATGACAAAGTCAAAGTCGAGGTCTGG